ACTTCCCTCTCTTTTGTCCTCTCATTTTTTCCCTGTCTTTCCTCCTGCTTTTCTCTTCTCCCCTCTCCCTTGGCATTCTCATCTAGCTAACATATATGTCTGTGTTATGTGAAAATATATAGGTATAGTTTTTTAAAAAAGCAAAAAAGGCTGTCTTTTTAAATATCAGAAGCTTGCTACAAATCGAATGTTAGAACCAAAAGAAATGTAAAGGATAGTTTGATGTATACCTTATGAGGAAATAAGGATTTGTGAAGTTATGTTTTTTTCTAAAGCATTTTAATCTAAAATTCGTTGTGTATGGTGCACTGGCCTGAAACCTGAGGAATGGGGATGGGAATATAAAACACTTAAGTGTCCTATCCCTGTTGTGAAGAAGCTCATAGTCTAGTAAATAGAGGAAATCACAATTTAAAAAAGTAATTAGCAGTAATGTAACATTTTATATGCAATTTGTGATTTTTAAATAAATTAGACCTACTATAGGAATCTGGAATATGAACAAAATTATGTAGGTCAAGTTACTCAGAGAAAGTTATATGGCTGGAGTCGAATCTGTAGTTCTTAAAGTGTGATTGGAATTTGAATACTGATGAACACAAATGATAATATAGCATCATTTTGTTTTTCTGTGGCTGGAGTCTATTTTCTAGGCATCTAAGAGGTATTTAATTGCTGGGTTTACTAGTTCTATAGTTTTTCCTTGATTATAGCAGAAACCTTTGAGGATATGTTTTGTTTTTTTTTTCCTTTTGAAGTACAATCTGTTTTAACCACTAAAACATCTGCCATTTAAAGAAGTATGTAAGATGATATAATCTGACACTGTAGCTTTCTCTATGACATACAAAGGTCATTTTTGGTCTCTTTCTGCGTATCTTACCAGCCTAATCTCTCCTCACTTCTCTGCGTACTATTTGCAGTTCCTCTGAAGTTTCCTGTTCTCTCTGCCTCCAGGACTATAAGTATATTACCTTCTGCCTGGATCACTGCCTGTTTACAGATTGTCTCCTCCTCACCTCTTCAGGCTCAGATTAGGTGGTCATTGTATTCTAGGAAGCCTTTTCTCACCTTCCGAAAACTGAATTAGATGCCCCTCCTGAACATTCCCAGAGCATCCTGACCTCACCTTATCCTGCTCTATTTTCCAGTTTACTTGTCAATGGATATTAAGCAAGCTTCTTGAGGTCAGGAATCTTAAATCTATGCTGTTATTACTGTCCACTGCTGTATAGTCAGTGCCCCTCTCTCTCTCTCTCTATATATATATAAAATATATAAATATATATAATATAAATACATATATATATATTTTTGTTTGTTTGTTTTGAGGCGGAGTTTTTGCTCTTGTCGCCCAGGCTGGAGTGCAATGGTATGATCTTGGCTCACTGCAACCCCCTTCTCCCAGGTTCAAGTGATTTTTCTGCCTCAACCTCCTTAGTAGCTGGGACCACAGGTGCCCCCCACCTCTCCTGGCTAATTTTTGTATTTTTAGTAGAGACAGGGTTTCACAGTGTTGGCCAGGCTGGTCTTGAACCCCTGGCCTTAGGTGATCCACCCACCTTGGCCTCCCAGAGTTCTGGGATTACAGGTGTGAGCCACCATGCCTGGCCACCCCAATATATTTTTAATAAATGTTGACTAGGGACATCTCTTTGGGGTTAGACAAAGGACCTTTTAGGTGGTAAATAAATATCATCTAACATATCAATTTATTTTTAAAAATAACTTATATTAGTGTCTCTGAACTGTTTTACCTAAAAATGTAACTATCAATTTGAACATCTTGGTACACAAATGAAGTACTTTCTGTACTGTGAACATTCAGAGCATATTTATTAATTTAGTGTTTTAGATTTTCTTTTTTTCCTCTTATGATGCTTGCCTGTTAATATTGCTATTCCAGCTATTTTTGATGTGTGAGGAGGTGTATTTATATGTTACCTATTTTTTATCCCCTTATTTTTTATTCTGTTTTTGTGTTAGGGCTATCTCTTGTAAGCTACATTTACCTAGATTTTATTTTTGTATCCATTTTGATAATCTCTACTTTTAATGGGTGATTTTAATCCATTTATATTTATTGTGATTACTGATACATGTGGACTTATTTCTACCATTTTTTGTGCATTTTTATTTTTATCCTCTGCCTTTTCTTTCCATGTGCCTGCCTTCAGTTAATCACCTTATTTTTTATTTTTCCTCTGTTTTTCTAATGCTGTAGATTATATTTGTTTTTAAATTTTAAATTAAATTTTGCCAATTACGTTTAGTGTTATTCAGTATTTTTTTCCTATTATAGGTTGATGCAAAAGTAATTGGGATTTTTGAAAGTAATGTGGTAAAAATAAAATTACTTTTGCACCAACTGAGTATATCAAAGTTGTTAGCATGCATCTAAACATTTCCTTACCTATCTTATTATTGTTTAGAGTTTGAGTTTTACACTTTTTAAACCCTCAAACATTACTTTAAAAATACAAGTGGTTAACATTTTAGTAATTTTCACAATAACTTGTTTCTTATATCCCATGGGTTCCATCTGCTTCCACTTTTCTTCTTAATGAACTGCATCTTGTAAGAGCTTTTTAAAGAGATCTTTAATAGATGGTAAAATTTCTTAGCCTTTATATGTCTAAATAATACTTCTCTTTCGTTCTCAAATGATGGTTTGGCAGCATATAAAATTCTAGACAGTTATTTTTCCTCAGTCTTTTGAAGATATTACTTCATTGTTTTCCGACCTTTATTGCAGCTGCTAAGTGTGCTCTTAGTCTTTCCATTGAGGTAATCTTTTTTTTTCCCCTTTGATAGATTTTTAAAAGACTATGTTTTTATCATTGATAGTATGCTATCTCTTTACATTGTATCTAATATGGATTCATATTTATATGGTCTAATGCTCTTTTTTCTGTTTAATTTTTTTATCAAGGTATAACTTGCATAAACTTTAGGCTCAGTTAAATTTTATATACATGTATACCCATGTTACCACCACCTAGATCAAGATTTAGAACATTCTTAGCAAGCTACACAGATCCCTTATGCCCCCTGCTAGTCAGTACACCTGCCCTAAACTCATTCAAAACTCTTTGATGATGAGAGTATACATCTCCAGTTCTGGGAAATTCTCAGCCACTGTTTCTTCAGGTATTGCTTCTCCACCATTGCCTCTAGCATATTCCCTCAAAACTCCATTAGCAAACATTGCAGCCTCAGTCTTTGTCACTTAATTGCTCTTTTCTGTTTTTTGTTTTGTTTTGTTTTTTGTTTTTCATGTTTGTATCTTTTTGTCTGCCTGCATGAAGTTCCGGGTAGTTCATTAGTGCTACCTTTCAATTTACTAATTCATACCTTCACTGTTCCCTGTCTAGAATATATTCTGTTGTTTCTTTTTATTTCAATTACTTAATTTGTCATTTTTAAGATTTCTAATTTTTTTTTATTTCTACCTGATACTTTTTTTTTTTTTTTTTAATTTCTTGTTATTGTGATGGCTCTTTTACTTTCATTTATGTTTCTGGATATCCTCAAGTACTTATTTTACAATCTTTGATAGATTGCACTAAATAAATTGCTTCTGAAATGAATTTTTATTACAATTATTGATTTTGTGGCTTGCTTTCTTAGCATTTGATTTCTTCATGTGTCTCAGAACTTTCTTTTTTTTTTTTTTTTCTGAGACGGAGTCTTGCTCTGTGCCCCAGGCTGGAGTACAGTGGCGAGATCTTGGCTCACTGCAAGCTCGGCCCCCCGGGTTCACGCCATTCTCCTGCCTCAGACTCCCGAGTAGCTGGGACTACAGGCGCCCGCCACCACGCCCGGCTAATTTTTTGTATTTTTAGTAGAGACGGGGTTTCACCGTGTTAGCCAGGATGGTCTTGATCTCCTGACCTCGTGATCCTCCCGCCTCAGCCTCCCAAAGTGCTGGGATTACAGGCTTGAGCCACCACGCCTGGCCGTGTCTCAGAACTTCTGCAATTTACTTTTAAGTGGAAAGTTTATGCTTTAATGTCTTCCCTCCTACACAGTTCCCCCTCAGTCCCCGCCACCACCCAAGGAATTTTGCAATTGATATTGGGGACGTTGGTAGATACAGCCCTGAAGTCAGAGGGTGGCTTGACTCTGTTCCTGGTATTGAGGCAGTATTCTGGTCCCCACCTTCCTAGACCCGTGGTTGCTGATTAGAATCATAGTCTCAGTCAACAGGTTTTGATTGTGCATTTTATCAGCCTCACGTTATGAGTAGAAGAACCCTGATGTAGCCCTAGCTTCAAGTAGTGAATCTGATTTGAGTCTCCTATATCCAACAAACTACTTTTAGTTCCCTTTAATCCCTAAAGGAAACTGTTGTACCTCTTTCCCCCTGTTTACTCCAAACCTGCTCCTAGATCCAGAAGCTAGTAAGCCTGTAACTTCAGGTCTTCCTCAATGTTTTTGAGTTTCCAGATATTTTCTTTTGCAGAGAAGTGATCCGTATTTGACTTCAGTTGTGTCTTTGATTTTCTCTTTTTATGCTTTATATGTTTTATTCATTTATACTGTGTGCTGCCAACAGGTTTTTTGAATTTGCCCTAAGATGTGAACCCCAAAGTACTGCTACTTGTAAAACTTTTCTTCAGGGAATATAGTCAAAATGTTTGAAAAAGTAAGGGGGTATGGAGTCTGGAATTGATTTGTTCAAAGGTGAATACACATTTGTTGCTATTGTCTCTAAAGTTGATTTCATTTTTACATGCTCAATAATCTTTGTAATAGCTTTTTTATTATCACAAGTATAATTTATGTCTGTTATAGAGCTTTTGGAAATTACAGCAAAGCATACACATACACACACACACACACACCCCCCCACAAATAATGAGAATTACTTGTATTTACACAACCCAGGTATAGCTATGGAATATTTTGGTATTTGTTTATGTTTTATTCGTATGTACATGTATACATAGTAATATTTATATTTTAAAAAACAAAACAAACCCAGTCTTGTTTTGTAGGTGAAGCGGTGAGTGCTGGAGATGCATTATGTGAAATTGAGACTGACAAAGCTGTGGTTACCTTAGATGCAAGCGATGATGGAATCTTGGCCAAAATCGTGGTATGTTTTTATTTTAATTGTCTTCAACAGGATGAAGAGCTCTTGAGTGTAAAGTTCATTGTAGTAAAATTACCTTTTATTTTTGCCTCCTTATTTTTAATGTGTATGGTCTACTACATAATACATTTTTAACTCAAGTGTTTAAAATGTTTTAGAGTTAAGGTCTAGTAGCCTGTTTTTCTGTATTTTCTAAATTTTCTGTAATGTGGGTTATTTTTGTAATGGAATGTTAGAGCTTATGTGAAAAGTAAGTGAAATAAAATGCTCAGAGCTACATGTGGTAAAAACATGACTATTTAGCATTATGTGGTATATTCCCTGATTGAGCCAACCAGCATGTTTGTTTCTTAATTTCTAGAACGTTTACTAGATAGTATGGTGGAACAGCTAAGACTGTGGACCCTGGAATCACCCCGCTGACTTTTAGACATATTATATCTAAAAAGTTCTGCCAGTTATTAGTTAGTTATGTAATGATTAGCAAAGTCTTCAACCCCTGTGCCTTTTTCTTCATGTTAAAGTAGAGATGATAAATACCTACCTCATGGGACAGTAGGGAAGACTGAGAGAGTACATACATGCGCATCTCAAGACCTGTTACTCAGTTGCTCAATAAATGTTACTTCTCCCATTATTACAATTGTTTCCTCAGCTCTTGGTGACCATCAGTCCCCAAGTCAGTCTGTATGTTTGCCTAGTAATTTGTATTGGTTGGTTGCAACTGGATAATAAATATCCATTTGCGCCTCTGGAGTTTGATTTGTACAGATGAGCTGCATGTCTATTAGCAGTCCCTTGTGGATGTGTTTTTAGTTCTGAGCCACCAGCTTACCTCCGCTTTGAGCATAGACATAACACCTTCCTTTGTATATTCTATTCAAAGACTACACTTCAGAATGCTATACTCTAACTAGGTGCAAATCTAGAGACAGTTTTTTATTTGTTTTTCTTACTAGAAAATCCTCTTTTCCTTTTTTTTTCTAGCACTTATGTTGTATTTTTAACTTCTAATATGTTAAACTTCCTTTACTTGTCATCTCTGATATTGGATACTAGATATAACATTCCAGGTTGAAACATGTTGATAATACAGTTAACTTCCTTTTAGGAATATGAATCAAAGGCTAAAATTTCTATATGTTTGTAATTGGGAAAATATAAATATTCATACCAAAAATAGTTTTCTTGACTAATTTATGCAGCATGTTGAAAAATATTGCTTGAATTACCATGTAATAAACCTAGCTACTTTTTATTATGTGTACTTTTGGCAAACTGTGTTCTTGGCCCCAATTTTGGATTGTTTGGCTGTGGAAATCTTCCAGAATTGATAGCATTTTTCCACTTAGCTGCTAAGTAATACGTTTCAAATTGCTAATCATGTCAGCGGGTCAGCAGTGCCAATTCATCTGGCCCCTATGCTCTGAAAAAGGTTGGGAGTGAAAGTGCATATAGTTGATAGCGGCTTTACTGGCACAACTATTTTCTTGCCAAAGAAAAGACTGTATATTTTAGTCCTTCATGGCTTTATTATTATTCCACATGCTTTTTGGATAGTATTTGGGAGTCTATTCACAACAAGATGTTGCAATTTTATCAGGGAAAAACTAGTAAATTTTTTTTTTTTTTTTTTGAGATGGAGTTTCACTCTTGTTGCCCAGGCTGAAGTGCAATGGCACAATCTTGGCTCACCACAACAACCACCTCCTGGCTTCAAGCAGTTCTCCTGCCTCAGCCTCCCAAGTAGCTGGGATTTCAGGCATGCACCACCACACCTGGCTAATTTTGTATTTTTGGTAGAGACAGGTTTCTCCATGTTGGTCAGACTGGTCTCGAACTCCCGACCTCCAGTAATCCACCCGCCTTAGCCTCCCAAAGTGCTGGGATTACAGGTGTAAGCCGCCACGCCCTGTCAAAACTAGTAAATTTTCATACAAAAATACTTCAGTTATTACACACTTAAAGATCAGTTCATCAGCTTATTCTTAAAGTTAGTATTTAGCAGATTGAACAGCTGTTTTAAATGATAATAAAGTAGAATCTTAGGATGACATATTTAGAGGGTTTATTAGAGGTTCTCTAATTTGGCTTCCAGTATATTTGGGGTTGCTATATAATTTGGCACAACAATTAGGATATTTGTGAGGATGAAAAGGGTATAAGATGTTAAAATTATTTACATTTATGTAATGTTTGCAATATATTTATTGACTAGCAATATATTTATTGATAGATTTTTATTGATAGACCTTTATTCAAAACGATTTTCAAAAGTAGAATTTTTTCCTAAAAAATAACATCCATGAGTATTAAAGAAAATTTTTTTAAAAACACATTTTTTAATTGATCATCTGAATACTAAAAACAGCAGAATAATTATTCTCAGTACTATTCACATTCTTCAGTTGGTTTCTTCACTTTATCTCACTCAAATACTGTGTCATTGGTATTTTTCTAAAGAATACATTTTTAAATACTACTGTATTCATTAGATTCCCCTTCCCCACCCTTATTTTTTCATTAAGTTGCCCACAATCCCATTCAAAGTTGCCTTTTAATGGTTTGAAAGTTTATGGTTGAAATTTGAAGTTGTAGAGCCTTTAGTTGATTCTTCTCTCTAGACCATGATATTTTTAATTAAGAAAATAGCCTCTCAGAGCTCAGAGCAGATTCTATTAAATGGAAGATATTCTCAACTCTAATTTTTTCATATTGAAATAGTTATGACACATTGTGAGGAAAGATAGTTTATGTTCCCTATGAATCAAAAGTTAAATTGTTACATCTACTTTATACCTTTTAAATTTGTTTTTTTTAAATACCGGCATCATCTTGAGGTGCTGCACGATAAATTTTGATCAGTTGGATATAATTTACAGATTTGGGAAATTATTGATTTGGTAGCGATTATATTGGATACCGTCTCTGATGTCAGACTACATTTAAATCCTGCCTCTGCTACATACTTGTCTTGTGATCTTGAGCAAGTTACATAACCTCTTTGTGCTTTAATTTTCTCATCTATAAATGGGAATAATCATAGTATTTACCTCAGAAAGTTGTTAGGATTAAATGAGTTAATGTTGTGCTAGAACAGTGCCTGAGACTTGAAAGCCAGACAGCTGTTATTCAAGGGCTTAATGAATGTTTCTTCTTCCCCTTTGTATTTTAGCTTATCATTGATTTGTTTTCATTTTCAGTATTTCTTATGTACTTCCTTATAAACCAAAGTTCATTGTCCATATAAGATAAACAGTATACATTGAAGAATAAAAACAGTTCAAAACTGTATAATGGTTCACACCATGATGGAAAATCATAGTGATGAACCAGGTAAGTCAGTCACGTGACCCAGGTCATCGCCACTAACTGCTGCACATGCTCTGTCAGTAGTCACTCGGTAGCTTTCAAACTGCTCTATTTTAAAGAATAAAAATACTTAAATAATTACTTAATGTACTAATTTTAAAATATCAGGATTAAAACAGACAATATTTACTTGCACCTTTAATGGAATGAACCCCCTCAATTTCTCTGTTGGACATACTGCTATAAATGTTTTGCCTCTCATATCCTTGTGTACACAGATGAGCTTAGGTGAGCTGTTTGTAGCACATTTGCAGGTGATTCATTGGTTAAGATGTGAGAAGTCTCTGGTACAGAAGCCTCACACTAGTGACCTCAGCCTCTGTATGAGAATTATGAAGAAATAGTTTGTCACAGGCCTTACTACCCATTATCGTATATGTTGATGTTTGCCCTTTAGTGATGCCAGCCACATGCTAAACCTTTAGGCATGAATTTCTAACCCATACCAAGGGGACAGTCCCCTGTAGTCTAATATTGATCCATGTTGAATGTATTGTTTTAAAAAAATCCATAATTTGAAGGAAAACACCACAGCAGTAACAACAACAATAATAATACCTTTAACAATGAAAATGAAAACAAGTTACTAGCTACCAGACCCTATTCTAAGGGCCTTACATATAACTCATTTATTCCTTATAACAACAATGTGAAATAGCTACTGTTATTTGCATCTTACAACTCAGAAAGCAAGCATGGTGAGATAAGGAAACTACTAAGGTCACATAACTAGTAAGTGGTGGAGCCAGCATTGAAACTCAGGAATTCTGTACACAACTGGGAGGGAAGGCTAATATTTGAAATGAGAGACTCAACATTCAATATTTCAGCATTGATGAGCTCTAAGTTAATAGAGCTATGTGTAAAAACCCTACATTTAATATTAAGAAATTATTGGCACAAGAGTAAGAGAGGGCTTTGGTCAAGTAACCTGAGTGCATAGGAAAACTCTGGCATTTGAGGTGTCCTTAGCTCCAGATGCTTTGGTAGAGCAGACTGTATCCATGGAGGTAGCTCGGAGAGGAAAGGGAACAGTTACAGAGGCCTGCTTGGTTTCTAAACAGTTTTGCAAAGAGTACTATTTACTCCTCTATACTAAGTCTACACTGGTTTTGAATATTTGCCTCCCACAATGTAAGCAAATGTCTACGGGAAATTAGCATACCTCTGAAAGATCTCTGTTTGCACCAAAGGAATAGGAAAGGTTGAAGAAATTATCTTAAATTCATATAGAGATTTTAATGACTTTAAATGGAATTATAATCAACTGTATTTTATCTTCTGTTATATATTCAAGTTGTATGGTAGTACATCACTTGTCCTTGTCTATTGTATTTGGGTTTCATGCTTCATGGTGTCACTTTTTTAAATAAAAAAATGTGAATGGTTAAAAATAAATTTTATTTGATATTTAGATAATGATAAAAATTGAAATGATGATAAATACTGTTTATTGTCTACTTGTGAAGGTGTCAGTGTTGGTAGAGTATGTATGGAATCGTTTATATGATTTACAGTAAATGAAACAAGGTGAGGTATCAGTTTCAGATTTAGTACAGTTGTCTGACTCAGATTTTAAAAATCTATTGATATTTTTAAAACAAAACTTTTTTTTAATGCTTTACATTTGAATGATGTTCTTTGTACTTGGACATTGATCCTATTTCTGATTCAGTTTCCAAAGGAATTAACATCAAGTGGACTATATGTCAATAGTGTTTTTTTGTATAAATTTTTAAAGAAAATCAGTCATTTTACTTTGATTTTTGAGTTAGCAATTCACACGCAGGTAATTATAAACACTTTTAGAAGACAAATATTGGTCTGATAATAATCTTAATTCATCTTTTTGACATAGTAAAGAAAATGAACTCTGCAGAAACAGAATTTTTTAGTATGTGACAAACAACTAAGCAACTACATTTTTCTTGGATTTCTTAGTATTCTTCCATAGCTTGTAATTCATTAAACATTCCTATTCAGCTTTCTATACTAATTTCATATATATATATATTTTGCTTCATCAAAGCATTGCTGCTTTTCTTCCTCATCAGTAATTAGTAAACTTAGCTTCCTAACCCCTCATAACTTATGCCTTATTAACGATAGTGAACATACCAGTAAGCATTGAAATTAGTGTTACTCTGAAATGTCAAACTCATTCTAGAAGTCATGCTTTTCTTTATCATTACTGTATTAGTGGACATCCTGCAGCCTATCATTTTATTGTTCATTAAATATAGCTAATGAACCTTATTTAGAGTAATTGAAAGGGAATAATAGAAAATTTTAAGGGAATGACATTTTCTTCCAGTAGTGAACTTATAAAATATTGTTATCTGAAGGTTTTCTAGGGACTTATTTTTAATAAGTAAATTAGAATTAACCCTTTATAAATTAATGCTGCTGAAATGCTTAAAATACATCTGTCTTAACTTTTAAAAACATTATCTTCAATTTAAGTGTTAATTGGCATTATCTGTGAAAAAATGCTTTATTAACTGAGACACCACTGTTTCTGATATACCCATAAAAAACTCATGAGGTTTTATTTTATTTTTCAGGTTTTGTAAATAGATATACAGGGAAATAATTAAATATAAAGAAATAGACTATATTTAACATTAACCAGAATAGTTAACCAGTTCTATCTATACATTGGAATGTTCATCTTTTCAGACTAAGTTTACTGAAAAGATTCTTGCATTAGATAAATTTTAGTAGATTGGACTAAGTTGAAGGAATTAATCCCTTCTGAGCTTTTTGAATTCTGAAGCTATTGCATAGAAACTGTCTGGGAAAGACAAATGGTTAAGATATGTAGCCACAGGCTCCTGTTTTGGATTTGTATTGACATCAAAAAACAAGATGATAATGATGGATCTTATATGTGTATTTGAAGGCTCTCAGAGGATACATTCTAGATTTATCCTTTGTTTCAGAAGGTAGCATTAGCAACTGGAAAGAGGAGAATGGTGAAGGAAGGTATAAGTGGGAGAAAGTGGAGAAGGTGACAGGTGGAAGACTGAGGCAAACAGTCTTGGAAGCAGCTTTTAGCTCAAATTAAGATATCTTAAGGGGAGAATTTCCCAACAAGGGAATAAACTACTTAATGCAGTCATGGGGTTTTACTTCTCTACAGTTATTTCTTTTTTAAATATAGGTTGAAGAAGGAAGTAAAAATATACGGCTAGGTTCACTAATTGGTTTGATAGTAGAAGAAGGAGAAGATTGGAAACATGTTGAAATTCCCAAAGATGTAGGTCCTCCACCACCAGTTTCAAAACCTTCAGAGCCTCGCCCCTCACCAGAACCACAGATTTCCATCCCTGTCAAAAAGGAACACATACCCGGGACACTACGGTGAGTATATTTATTCAAAGGATGATGTAAAAAAAAAAATGGTTATGGCAGTTCTTACGGAGTTGTAATCATTATATTCGCACATCGTTGTACATAGAAGTTGCTGTTCTCAGCACACTCAGACCTTAGAGTGTGTGCTTTTTTTTTTCAACCATCATTGTTCATTCAGTAAATAGTTATTGAATATCTGCTATGTTCCAAGTACTCTGAAAGCCCTGCTTGCACAATGGAAAACCAAACAGTATGTGTCCATGTTGAGGTTGAATTAGGTTTTAGAAGTCTAGAATGGAATTCAGTATACCAGACTTCATACTCTGTTACCATTTATGGAGTTCTAATTACTTACAGGAATTCCAAGCTCGAATGTCTCTCTGATATAAAATAGAATTCGTGTTTTAACATGCATTCGTTTTCAAACTAGTCTGCATTATGAGTTTCCGGCACAGACTGGAGCTCAGTTTTGTCTGTTCTGTAACAAAACAGACAACTTACTACACATCATTTCACTTTAGCTTTACATTGCTTTAATAGAAGAACTCTATAAATTCTAACATTTCATTTGTTTAGTATTCTATATAATTATACAACATTACTTTTTCTTTATGAGAAAAAGATCTTCATAAAGTAGACCTCTTCATTCTTAAACATTTTTTCCTTTACTTTATCATTGTCAGAAAAGAATCCACCGTGCTTTTTTGGGGGAGGCGGTGACGGAGTTTGTTCTCATTGCCCAGGCTGGAGTGCAATGGTGCAATCTCAGTTCACCGCAACCTTGGTCTCCTGGGTTCAAGCGATTCTCCTGCCTCAACCTCCTGAGTAGCTGGGATTACAAGCATGTGCCACCTTGCCCGGCTAGTTTTTTTGTATTTTTGGTAGAGACAGGGTTTCTTCATGTTGGCCAGGCTGGTCTCAAACTCCTGACTTCATGAACTGCCTGCCTTGACCTCCCAAAGTGCTGGGGATAACAGGCATGAGCAACCACGTCCGGCCTGCTTTTTGAAATATTGATTTTTAAATTCCCTGTGCAAAGTGTTTCTGACTCTGTTGCCTTGACTCCCATTTACTGTCTCCTCTTTCATTTACGCTAAAAATTGGAAGACAGTCTCACTGATGTCTTCTAACTAATGGTCTTCTCCCCTTGCAAAGATAATAATAGTGTATACCCTATTTAAGATCAGTCATCATCAGAAACTTGCATGAATCTGAGGCCCCACTATGTAGGTTAAAAACCTACTGACCTATGAACTCTGCATATTTTTGGACCCACACAGTGAATGAAAAAAAAAAAATTTTATTTTGGTTGGTTGGTCACTAATCTTATGTAAAAATCTAAAATTTCAGTTTCTCTTGAAAAGTCTAAAGATTTAATAATACTGGGCCCATATGAGAGTTATTTAATACTTCCCTGAAATGCAGCAAGTTCCACAGTTGTTTCTGTTTCTTAGCTTTAATTTCTAGACCCAGCCTGTTTTAATCTGTACTAATCAGGCTTATTTTCTTTATCTGACTGTGTAGTCATTTGTTTACTACTTTGCTTAAAGGAAATATACTGTTAGTCATGTAATCTTAGGTACACTATATATATATATATATATATGTTTATATATACAATTCAACCTCAGCAAAACAACCCAATTAAAAAATAGGCAAAGGACTTTAATAGCATTTCTCCCAAGAAGATACATAGATGGCCAGCAGGCAAATGAAAAAGATGTTCACTGTCACTAACCATTAGGGAAATGAAATCAAAACCACAATGAGACATCCCTTCATACCCTTCAGGAGGGCGATTATCAAAACAAACAAACAAACAAAAACCAAACCAGACCCAGAATATGACAGGTGTTGGCAAGGACATGGATAATTTGGAACCCTTGTTGTTGCCTAGTGGAAGTGTAAAATGCTGCAGCTACTGTGGAAAACAGTATGGCAGTTTCTCAGAAAATTAGAATTACCATATCATCTAGCAGGTCCACTTCCGGATATATATGCAAAATAACTGAAAGCAAAGACTGGAAAGAGATATTTGTACGTCTATATTCATAGCAACATTATTCACAGTAGCAAAATGGTAGAAACAACTCATAAGTCCAAAATGCTATGAAATGTGATTCAGCTTTGTAGGAAGGAAATTCTGGTAAATGCTGCATAGATAAACCTTGAGAACATTATGCTGAGTAAAATAAGCCAGTCAAAAAGACAAATACTGTATGATTCTACTCATGTGAGGTACCTGAAGTAGTCAAACTGATAGAGACAAAGAGAATGGTTACCAGGGGTTGGGAGGAGGGAGGAATGGAGAGTTACTGTTTAATAGATACAGAGTTCAATTTGGGAAAATGAAAATTTCTGGAGATAGATGGTGGTGATGGTTGCTCAGTAGTGTGATTGTACTAAATGCCACTCAATTGTACACCTAAAAATGCTTAAAATGGTTAATTTTAGGTATCATTTGCCACAATACAAAATATATGAAGCAACAATATAACAAAATATATGAAGAAACAATTGATGTTTGTGATGAGCACCCATGTGAAAGTAATTGGTTGAAATAGAAGTTCTTTCCCCTAATGAATATTTATTCTTACTAAAATAATATTTAGAAATAGTAACTAAATTTTTATGAAAATGTTTAAAGAATAAAATAAATTGGTACAGATTATTTGACGGTGACCATCTGTGGGAGTCATTTTAACTTTATTATAAGATTTTTAAAATTATTTGCAAAACTGTTGACATTTAGATCTATTTGAATCAAATGTAAGTGTTAATTGGTTCTATTAACCTTCATATTTTTTTCTTAGGTTCCGTTTAAGTCCAGCTGCCCGCAATATTCTGGAAAAACACTCACTGGATGCTAGCCAGGGCACAGCCACTGGCCCTCGGGGGATATTCACTAAAGAGTATGTGTTTGCTTTTTGTAATAACCAATTCCATTATTTATTATGATCATGTTTTTTTTGAAAGAAAATAAAAAGAGCTTATTCAGTCTTAAGATTTAAAAGGAGGTACACTGTTCTTTTGTACTTTTAGTTGCTTTTATCATTGTAAATTATATTGTGTGCAAGAGTTGTTTTCTGAATAATTATAGCATTACTGAAGAACAACTCTAATTTGGTAACTAAGCAAGATCCTTAGAAGTGGTAATAAATGCAGAAAATTAGAGTGCCAAACAGTGAAACTTTATGCAGTATTAAGTGTATGAAATCATGCAATAACATTTACATTTCTAAAACAAGGAAATATATTTTAAAAAATTATTTTCATTATCCATTTGAATTTTATTCACTTGTACTGTTATAAAGCAATTTCCATATACAGTTTGGTCTCTTTTTAGATTTCCTTTTCTATTTCATTGATCCATCTGTTCACGAGTTAGTACCATACTTTTTTAGTACCACATTTTTAATTAGAAATGTTTTACTATATGCTTTACCTCTGATAGCAATAGCCTTGCTCTTTTTTTTTTAAATTAATCAGTTTTCTTAGTTCATTCTTATTTTATTATTCTTCCAAATGAATTTTAAGCAGTTCATCTAGCTCCATGGGTAGGAGTGAGGGGTATTTTTATGGGATTGTATCACATTTTAAATAAAGTTTGTGAGAACAGACATCTTTATGATGATGGGTCTTTCTATTCCGCAACACTGGTGTGTCTTTGCATTAGTTTAAATTTTTGTGTCTTTCAAAACAGATGGCCCCTTTTCTGTTGAAACTTAGTCTAGTAGGGTAGACAAAGATTAATCAAATAGGCTTATGAACTAATGTAAAATTTCAGTAGTGTTATGTGCTACATTTCTATTGGCAGTAAGAGTAAATGTTTCAAATTGAGTTTATGTTTTAAAGCAATGTACTCATTCCATGTTTATCTAATATTGATAGAAAATAATAAATAATATTGGCCAGAATTTTTGTAAGTCAAGAGAGAGCAATGGTTATTAAATTATAAGTGGCAGTGTTGGGCCAGGCAACTTCTTCTTTTTTCCACTGGGTTATTTTACTCTGCATGAAAGCATTGGCTTACTGTTGGGTGTTTATTGAAAGCAGTATGTAGCTTTAATTCTTAGATATCCTCATTTATCTATATTGCACTCTTACTGATTTGTTAACTGAATGTGAGTATGTGGTTCTATCACACACATACTGTGAAGTTCATGCCACACTGCATGAGTTGGAAATCAGCTGTCCTGAGAGCTCACTGAAGGGCAACATCCCAGACCGTGGGATTTTTAGTTAAAGGACTTAAAAGTTACACTTAGCTGTAAAAAATTAAAATTAAGAACCTTGGTTGCCAGTTAATCCCAGTTTCTTCCCCACACCAATCCCGATTTGTGTCTGCTCTTGGTATCTTAATCTTGTTAATCTCTACCAGTCTGTGCCTTAGTAGCACTCTCTGTAAAAATGGGAGAAAGCAACTATTTTTATGACAAAGTAGACTTGCCTTGCTCATAATTCTGAGGATTAGGAAGAAGAGTCTGTATTTAATTCATTAGTCTTTGAGGATTTGGTGAAATGTAAAATAATAATTGTTGCATCTTAGGGGGATCAGTTTTGCAAATTTGTGTAAGATAAACTGGAGCAGAAAAAGATGAGTTAAGGAGATAAATTAATAGGCTCCTAAAGTAATCCAGGTAAGAGATAATGAATACTTGAATGTGGTTAGAAGATCTAAAAGGGAGATTCCTGATACAGACAACATTGTAAGGATAAAGTCCAGAAACCTTCACAGATTAAATGTGGAGTGTAGGCCAGAGTAGCAACAAATAAAGGAATGAATTTGGATCTGGTCTAGGTGATGATAGTTTTGTCTCCAGAAATAGAAATAAAGGATTTGGGAAGCATTTGTTTTGGTGGAGTTAGTAATGTTTGAAGCTTACTTTCAGGACTTAGAAGCCATGTAGGTATCAGGATCAGTGAGATGAAGATGTATCTCAGGAGACAGTTTGGGATTAGAGAGATAGATTTGGTAGATAATAAAGCAATAGTTGTAATTGAGTTCATAAATAGGGAAACTATTTAGAGGTTAAAATCCTTGAGTTGGAGGATACCTGGGAAATGTGGGAAAAGTCAAGGATGGTAGGATCTAAGAAAAGACTCTTAAATTTGGTGATGTGGTAACCTTTTGGAGGGCAGTTCAGTAGTGTGAGAGCAGTAGAATAAAGAAGTAAAGGTTTCTTCCTTCCTTTTCTTTCCATGTGTGCTTAATACATGTATGGTGCACAAATATCTTTTTTTTTAAACCTGAGTTGAAAGTTATAATATTAATGAAACATTTCTTAAGAACAAGGTGGTATTATCTCCCGAATACCATAAGGAAGCAGTATTAAAGAGTTAGGCTTTTATTATTATTGCCATCTTTTCTACCCTGTTACCCTTTTCTCTTCCCTGCCCTTATTCCTTAACTCTCCACAAGAAAGGCATCAACTTCTGGTCTTCAAAATAAGAACTAGTACAAAAGATTTTATGAGAAAAATGAATCCTGAAAGCATACATTATTGAGGATTTTTGCTTTTCTATACTACTAAAAATGCCTGCATTTTAAGTTTATCATTAAGGTGAGCTTTGGAAAAATTTTAGCCTAATGTCATCTTCTGATACGGTTGAAAAATTGCAGGCCTTGGCATAGCTCTCCCCAAAATATCTTAGCACACTTTTTTATTTTTTATTTTTATTTTTTTAAGAGAGAGATAGGCTCTCACTCTGTCACCCAGATTGGGGTGCCATGATGTTGTTCATAGCTCACTGCAGCCTTGAACTCCTAGGCTGTAGTGGTCCTATCACCTCAGCCTCTCAAATAGTTGGGACTACAGGTGTGCCACCATGCCTGGCTAAATTTTTAAAAAATTTTTGTAGAGACAGTTTCTCACTAGGTTGCCCAGACTGGTCTCAAGCTCTTGGCCTCAGGTAATCCTCCCGCCTCAGCCTCTCAAAGTGCTGGGAATGCGGACGTGAGCCACCGTGCCCGGCCAGCACACATTCTTGACATGGTGAGGACATCCTCCATACCATGTCTACTAAAAGTGCGAGTAGAAAAATCAGTTCCAGATGCCTCCAGCCCACTGTATTTGTGAAAAAAATCTTGGGTATCAGGGCTACTATTTTAATTTTGCCTTAAAACAAGCATTGCTCAGAATACATATGTTGTACCAAAGCGTGTAGACTTGACTCTGCTTGTATATGTGACTATTTTAAGAAAGCAGTGTCAGGGCCACAATTAGAAGCAGAAGACGTTTAGGTTCTTTGCCTGCAGCCCCAATGTCTTTGGTACATCTGTGTCTTAAATCATAGTTGTAGTAATATTTGTATTTATCACACAGCATCAAAAATTAGGTAAGTATGACAGGCAAGTGCCTAGTGTGTTTTAGTGGTATTTCTTTTCAAAATGAATTCATGTCACACCCAAATGAATTGTTCTCTCGGAAACCAGTAGAGAAGGTTCTACTTGAGTTAACTTCCAGAGCATCCTCTGCCTATCTGCAGATTTGTTTTTCTCCTGATTTTTGTAGCTTTTAATGTCTACCTAATGCTCCAAGTTTAGTCTGATTATTTAATGTGCAGAAATCATTAAAACCATTTTCTGCCTTACAGAAAACTAAATCGTTGGCTGTTACTAAAGAATAATTAAGATTTATACTTCATAGGTATGTAAAGTATAAAATAGGTAATAAAAAGGCCAGGTACAGTGGCTCACACCTGTAATCCCAGCGTTTTGGGAGGCCAAGGGTAGCGAATCACTTGAGTCCAGGAGTTTGAGACCAGTCTGGCCAACATGATAAAACCCCATCTCTACTAAAACTATAAAGCTTAGCCAGGCGTGGTGGTGCACACCTGTATTCCCAGCTACTACGGAGGCTGAGGCATGAGAATCTCTTGAACCCGGGAGGTGGTGGTTGGAGTGAGCTGAGATTGTGCCACTGCACTCCAACCTGGGTGACTGAGTGAGACTCTTTAAAAAATAAAAAAATAAAAAATAAAATCAGCAATAAAAGTTTTTGTGAGCCAGTGGCCAGAATGAATTTTCTTCCTGCTTCTTTATGATTAACCTACCCAAGAACCTTAATTACTACAGAGACAAAACTAAACTGCTTTTTAAAAAATAAAGTAGCAAGTAATAGTTATGTTAACTAAATATTACATATTACTAAATATGGTAATAAGTAATAGTTATGCTAAAAATGTGTCAATTTAGTGTCAGCAGCCTTTTTTTTAAATAGATGTAATCAGGCATTAACCATACAGATTTTTGCACCTCAGTTAGAGTGTTCCTACTTGTGTTGGTGTTCTATTATTGCATAACAAGTTACAATAAACTTACCAGCTTAAAATAATACCTGTTTGTTTTCTAACAGTTCAATAGGTTAGAAGTCCTGGCATAGCACGGCCAGGTTCTGAACTCATGGTCTCATAAGGCTGAAATCAAAGTGTTGGCCAAGGCTGGGGACTCATGTGAAGCTTGGGGTCCTCTTCCAAGCTCATGCGGTTGTTGACAGAATGTATTTCTTTGGGACTGTAGGACTGTGGCCCTTGTTTTCTTTCTAGCTCTCAGCCAAGAACCCGTGACAGCTCCCAGAGGCCATGTGCAGGGCCTTGCCATGTGTGGTCTCCACAGGCAGTTCGCAACATGCATGTTTGCTTCTCTCAGGCCAGCAGTTGAATCTCTTTACTTCAAGTCTCTTCTTCCAGGAAGGCCTAATTTCTTTTAAGAGATTACCTGATGTATTTGCCCTCTCCAGGGTAGTTTGCCTTTTGATTAACTCAAATGCAACTGATTTGGAGCCTCATATATCTATAAAATGCCACCAATTTTGTCACATAATAGGGCCTAATCATGGAAGTGACATCCATCGTATTCACAGGCCAGATACCGTCAAGAGGGATTATATGGGGTGTGTATACCCGGGGCAGGAATATTGGGGCCATCTCAGAATTCTTCCTACCATGTTGCCACAAGTAAAAGGGTCTTCTCAAATATGCTCAACAGGTTCTAGGTTTTAATCTTTCATCAGTTTTTTTGAAAAATAATACCAAAATATTAACTGCTTGAGAAATAATTTTTCTTTAGATTTTGTGTCACCCTGAATTTTTTTTAGGTTATATAAAACAATTTTTTTTTCTTAAATTGGAAAAAATACTTTCCTAAATACTTACTGGATATTAAAATGTCCCAAAAATTATTTTAAGAAAATATATTGCCTAATACCACTGTAACTTAGCATAGTGAGTTGAGGGCTTAGCATATTTAGTAATCTAATTATATCTTCTTACAAGACAAAAATACCTTTGTTTTACAGAGTAATACAAAGGCAAGTCTGTAACTAGTTATTTTTCATTCTAAAATATATCATGGGTTAGATTTGTTATATTAGGTTGTACTGATGGCATATTGAGCAAAATTTAAAATGATTTGATTTCCTGGTCATAAATAAGCTGATTTGCACTATAATAAACAATGAATAAACAATAAGTGAACAATGATGTAGGAAGTATCCTGGTGAAAGCCATATTTACAATAAACGACACTTTTTGAATGCCATGTGAATATTATTTCATGAGTATGAAGGATGAGAATATGGTTTAATTAATTGTTGATCTACCAAATAACATCCACTGTACAGAAAAAAGACTAATTTCCTTTTTAAAAATCAATACTTATGCCCAATTTTAATAAAATTTTAGTTATTGTTTGGTTTTTGAAAATATGCAAATATTAAAACATGACAAATAATCGTCAGCAGACCAGGTAAGAGACAGGATTTAATTTTCTAGCTCAAGTAATTGGTTTTTAATTATAACCTTGACATCTGTATATTTGTGTATCTTTTCTCCACGTCTCATCTACGTTTTCTGAAAGTTCTGTTATATTCCTTATTGCTAGTTATGGTTATCTCCTTTGCTCTTATTTCCAGGGATGCTCTCAGACTTGTCCAGTTGAAACAGACGGGCAAGATTACCGAGTCTAGACCAACTCCAGCCCCTGCAGCCACTCCCACAGCACCTTCGCCCCTACAGACCACAGCTGGGCCATCTTATCCCCGGCCTATGATCCCACCAGTATCAACTCCTGGACAACCCAGTGCAGTGGTAATGTTCTCTAAGTGCATTTTTATTTCTTTTTTTTTTTTTCTGAGACCGAGTCTTGCACTGTCACCCAGGCTGGAGTGTAGTGGCATGATCTCAGCTCACTGCAGCCTCCGCCTCCCAGGTTCAAGTAATTCTCCTGCCTCAGCTTCCTGAGTAGCTGGGATTATAGGCGCACACCAGACGCCCACCTAATTTTTGTATTTTTAGTAGAGATGGGGTTTCACCATATTGGCCAGGCTGATCTCAAACTCCTGACTTCAGGTGATCCACCCGCCTTGGCCTCCCAAAGTGCTAGGATTACAGGCGTGAGCCACCATGCCTGACCTGGATTTTTATTTTTCAGATTTAAGTGAGAGAGAAAATAAGAACAATTACTGTGTGTTTTAAGAATAGATTTAAAACAGATTAGTTTTACTAATCTGTTTCAATAGTAACTCAGTGATAAATAAAAAACAGTCCAAATGCTTTGTTTTACAGATTTCCTATCAGAAACCAAAATTTGTTTGTACGTTAACTTCCAAATAAACGTTAGAACTATAATTCAATTTAAAGTTACCATAGGTTCCACAACTTCAGTAACATATATTCCCTACAATCTCATGTTTCATGTCTTTTCTTAAGTGTGATACTAATAATTAGTGGCTGACACTAGCTCCCTTTTGTGGATGTGTTCTACTTTTTAACTAGGGAATTGATAATCTCCCTATAAAGAACTATATAGGTCGTCATTCTTTCCTTCTCAGGTGCATGCAGCATAACAGCCCCTTTTTGTTTTCAAATTCCTCCATTTTGTCTCTCTGTGCCTTTCCTATTCAGGTTATTTACTTCCTATCAGAAGAAGTGTAGGATAACCAAGTTTATTTAAAATTGAATGGGCACTTAAAAAAATAAATAGATAAATCTGTACTCCTAGTGGAGAACTATATACTATATGATACTTTAAAAGAGTTGAAAACAGTACAACTTTCATGGGAAACAGATTTTCAAATATCCATTAATGATTAATATACTGCATACTTGAATAACCTAGTCTTTAAGGACATGCAGTTGGACAAGACACTATGTATATTGAGTGTATAGTCCACTCTTCGACTATATAACATATATTGACTATAAAATATGTATAGTTCGATCATATATCTTTAAAAAGTAGATTATTCAAGGCTGGGTGTGTTACCTTACACCTGTAATCCTAGCACTTTGAGAGTCTGAGGTGGGAGGATTGCCTGCACCCAGGCATTCAAAGACCAGCCTGGGCAACATAGTGAGACCTCATCTTTACAAAAATATTTAAAAATCCGCTGGATGTGGTAGTGTGTGCCTGTAGTCCCAGCTACTCAGGCAGCAGAGGTTGGGGAATCACTTGAGACTGGGAGGTTGAGGCTGTAGTGAGCTGTGTTCATGCCACCGCACTCCAGCCTGGGTAATAAAGGAAGACCCTATCTCAAAAAAGAAAAAAAAAAAAGTTATTCAAGTTAGGAAGGTAAACCTTACTTTCGAATTCTTATAGTGTGTAGAGAGCATTTATTCTACTTGACCAAGTACTTTGCTAACATAAAGTGTTTAATTTCTTAATGATATTTGTAAAAATAAAATCAGCCGCACTTTCATTTGCTTTGTATTATCTTGAAGTGATTGTAATGAAATTCCAAAATAGAGTGAAGGACGAGAAAGGAATTAGATATAATTTAAAGCCTATCATGCTTTTTTGAGCGGTCCAAGGAACAGAATGAAAAAACTGCAGAGAAGTTACAGGGATATTTTATTATCTCGTTCATACTTTCTATTATGAATCTCTAAGAAATAAGATCCTCATGTTATTTTTAAAAATTACAAATCCAAATAGAAATAATGGAATTGCCTATATAGAAGGTCTCTGAGCTTCTAATGTCCCTTGTGATTTCTTTGATCCATGAGTTGTTTATAAGTATGAATTTAATTTCAAAATATTTGAAGATGCTTCAGTTACCTTTCATGATTTCTAGTTTAACTCCACTGTGTTTAGAGAATGCACTTTGAGACACACTTCATTTTTAGAACAATCTTCTCAAATTTATTGAGATTTATTTTATGTTTATAATATGGCCTGTCTTGGTGGATGTTCCATGTGTGCTTGAAAAGATGGTTCGACTAACAATTTTTTGACTTTATGATGGTGTAAAAGTGACATACATTCAAGTAGAAAGCAGTGCAGTATTTCCTTGCAATGCTGGGCAGCAGTGGCCCGCCACAGCTCCCAGTTAGCCGTGTGATCATCAGCGCAAACGACCGCTACTTTGCAATGTAGTGTGTAGCCAGATAATTTTGCCCAACTGTAGGCTAATGTAAGTGTTCTGAGCACATTTATGGTAGGCTAGGCTAAGGCTAAGCTGTGATGTTCAGTAGGTTATGTGTATTAAATGCACTTTGACTTATGATATTTTCAACTTACAATGGGTTCATCAGAGTGTCACCCCATCAAAAGTCAAAGGGCAACTATATATTAATAGTTTGTTGATTTATTGGCTGTTTTATTTCAGGGTTTTTTTGTTTGTTTGTTTGTTTGTTTTCCCTAAGACAGTCTTGCTCTGTCGCCCAGGCTGGAGTGCAGTGGCGCAATCTTGGCTCAGTGCAACCTCTGCCTCCCCAGTTCAAGTGATTCTCCTGCCTCAGCCTCCTAAGTAGCTAGTATTACAGGCATGCGCCACCACACCTAGCTAATTTTTGTTTTCTTAGTAGAGATGGGGTTTCACCATGTTGGCCAAGCTGGTCTTGAACTCTTGACCTCGTGATCCGCCCACCTCAGCCTCCCAAAGTAATCCTGAGATTACAGGCATGAGCCACCGTGCCCAGCCCATTTCAGTTTTATTAAGTGATATTTGTAACAAAAGCTGCTTACAGATGGCTTATGTCTGTGTGTCTCTTCTCACTCCTCCCTCTCTCTCTGTGTATGTATGTACACATACATATATTGCTCCTTGTGTGTGTATGGTGTGTGTGTATGTATGTATACACACACAAACACACCTATGGAGGAATTATTTGGTAGGTTTCTTTTTTATCATCTTAAACATAGTAACATAAGATATCCCATTCACAATTGAAACATGAATTTTATTACTTTTTTCTGTAGTTACATACTATAAAACCAAAATATCCCAGATTTTTTCATATTCTTCCCTTATACTAAGAATTTTAATAGTGCTTTTCTTGTATTAATCTTTAATTAATAAGTTAGGTCATCAAGAATGAATTTCATTTATAAAGTTGCTTGTTTTTTGTTTTATTTTTCTATTCCACTTGTGGTTTAATGGACAGGTTGCTATCTTTTTGTAGGGCACATTCACTGAAATCCCTGCCAGCAATATTCGAAGAGTTATTGCCAAGAGATTAACTGAATCTAAAAGTACTGTACCTCATGCATATGCTACTGCTGACTGTGACCTTGGAGCTGTTTTAAAAGTTAGGCAAGATCTCGTCAAAGGTTAGTAAAATTGAATTTACTTAATACAAAACACATGCTAACTTAACTGTCATGAAATCCTTTATAAAATTACACAACGTAGCTTTTAATTTCAATTTCGTAATGTACTTGCACTCTACTATGGGTATATTTGTGCTAGAGAAAAAAAAATTAGTAATGTTTTCCTTGAAAAAGTGAATTGGTTCCACAGTATTAAATAAACCACAGATGCCTTTATGCAGAATAAAGGTTTCTGTTCTACTTTGCTTTTATTTCCCCTTTGTCATATTTGAATAATGTACATTTAGTTAACATTCATTTAGCAGGCAGTTATTGTGTTCAATTCTCTGTTACATACTGAGCTTTAAAAATACAGGTTGAGCATCACAAAACCAAAAATTCAAAGTGCTCCAACATGTGAAACTTTTTGAGTGCCAACATGAAGCTCAAAGGAAGTCCTCATTGTAGCTTTTCAGATTTGGGGATTTTTGGACTAAAGATGCCCAAACAGTAAATGTAGTATTACAAAATCTGAAAAATTTTGAAATCTGAAACACTTCTGGTTCCAAGTATTTTGGATAAGGGATATTGAAATCTAAAGTACTGTAATTTGGTTGGTTATTTTAAAAGCAAAAGTGGTCTTAATGTTTTGGTTTGCTTTAGCATTTACATAGGTCAATTTTTTGGTAAGAACACATGAATGATTTGTGTAGACCAAATGGTTATTTTTTATTTTGAATGTTCTTTGGTATGGTATTTAAACAAAGCAGTCCTTAACATTTCATTAAGTTTAAAATCCAAAACTTTTAAGGATGTTTTAGATTATAAATATCTTAGATATTCTTCTGTATGCAAATTTTGATTTTATATTTCTTGTTCAGAGTGCATTTACAGATTATTAAATTTGTAATATTTCTTACAAAAATCAATTATAAGTTTGCTGAGAGACATACAGATTTTTTAGCATGAACTGATAGTTTTATTTCTTCATTTTTGACCTATATGGCCTTCGTATTATTTTCTTGTCTTATTGCACTGACTAGAACCTCTGGTATAATGAATATAGATGGTAAAAGCAGATATTTTTGTCTTGTTCTTGATCTTGGGGGAAAAGCATTCAGTCTTTTATGTTAGCTATAGGTTTTTTGTAGAACATTATTTTCAGGTTGAAAGAATGTCCATTCCTAGCTTGCAGAGAGTTTTAAACATGAGTAGATGTTGAATTTTGTCAAATACTTTTTGTGCATCTTTTCAGATAACTTTTCCTTTTTCTGTCTGTTAATAAAGTGAATTACATTGGTTGATTTTCAAGTGTTGAATCAACTTTGTATTCCTCAAATAAAGCCCACTTAATCATTAACCTTCTCATATATTGTTTGATTCTGTATTCTAAAATTTTGTTTAGAATCTTTACACCTATGCCCATGAGAAATGCCGACCTGTAGTTTTCTTTTCTGGAGACATTTTTTCGGATTTGTTATCTTATCTAGTGGAATGGGTTGGAAAACATTTCCTGCTCCTTTATTTTCTGGAAGAGTTTGGGTACAATTGGTATTATTTCTTTTTTAATTGTTTAGTAGCATTCACTAATGAGTTTCTTTTTGGAAAGGTTTTTAATTATGAATTTTATTTTAAAAATGGATGCAGCTTTTGTTTTCTTGAATGAATTCTGGTAGTTTGTGTCTTTCAAGAAATTTGTGTCATCTAAGTCACCAGGTTTATTGGCATAAAGTTATTCACCACATTACCTTATTATACTGTCATTTTATCTGAAGTAATGTTTCTGTTTTTGGTATTAGTAATTTGTGTGTTTTACTCTCTAGATCACTCTGGCTAAAGGGTTATCAGTTCTATTGATCTCGATCTCTTCAAAGAACCAGCATTTGGTTTTATTAACTTATCTAGTATTTCTGTGATATTGATCTCATTGATTTCTGTATTTTTTTTTCTCTTTGCTTTCAGTTTACTTTGCTATTTTATTTCTAGTTTTTTAAGGTGAAAACTTGGATCATTTATTTGAGACCTTTATTTTTTAATATAAGCATATAATACTCTTGAATTATCTTTAAGCACTACTTTAGCTGTATCCCACAGATGTTGATTTTTTTTTTCTTTTTTTCTTTTGAGACAGGTTCTTGCTCTGTCACCCCGGCTGGAGTGCAGTGGTGCAATCTCGCTTCACTTCAACCACCGCCTCCTGTGGTGATTCTCTCACCTCAGTGCCTTGAGTAGCTACGATTACAGGCACAAACCACCATGCCTGGCTAATTTTTTGTATTTTTACTAGAGACAGGGTTTCAGCATGTTGGCCAAGCTGGTCTCAAACTCCTGGCCTCAAGTGATTCACCTACCTTGGCCTCCCTTAGTGCTGAAATTACAGGCATGAGACACCACGCCTGGCATTATTTTTCCTTTTATTCAATTAAAAATGTTTTCTCATTTATTTCTTTTGTGATTTCTTTGATCAATGAGTTATTTATAATTGTGCACTTAATTTCAAATTATTTGAGAACTATTCATTTCTCTTTCTTTTATGATTTCTAGCTTAACTCCATTGTGTTTAGAGAACACACTTTATATGATTTCAATTTTCTTAAATTTGTTGATATTTATTTTGTATTTATAGTATGGTCTATCTTGGTATGTGTTCTTGAAAAGAATTTTTTTATTTTTACAAGGGAATGTTCTGTAAATGTCAGGCCAAGCTGGTTAATAGTGTTGTTTATGTCTTTTGAGAGGAGTGTTGATATTTCTCATTATAATTGTTTATTTGTAGTTTCTCCTTTCAGCTCTGTCAGTTTTTGCTTCATGTATCCTGAAGATCTATTATTAGCCACATACACAGTTAGAAATTTTATGTTTTCTTGAACAGACCAGTCATGTTATGTCCTTATCTATTCCTTGTAATATTCCTTATCCTCAAGCCTTCTTTATCACATCTGTAGCCATTACAGATTTCTTTGACTTGTGTTTCTATAGTATATCTTTTTGCATCTTTTTACTTTTTAAATGTAAATATGTTTATTTAAATAGGTTTCTTGAAGGCAGCATGTAGTTGGTTCTTGCTATTTTATCCAATTCTTTAGTCTCTTAAGATGTTTAGACCACTCACATTTAATGGGATAGTTGGATTTAAATCTACCATTTTGTTCTTTCTTTGTGTTCTCTTTGTCCCACCTCTTTTATTCTTTCCTTATCTTTTTGGTTACTTACTTTGTTATCATTCCATTGTATTTCTTCATTTTATCTCCTTTTTTCTCTTCTTATCTGTCTTTGCAGTGGTTTTCTTAGGGTTTACAATATAATTCTTTAATTTATCACAGCCTGATTACACCCCACTCCATGTTTAATATAAGAACCTCATAACTATATACTTGCATTTCCTCCCTCTCATATTTTGTACTGCTGTTGTCATGTTTTACTTCTATATGATATAAGCCCCAGAATACATGTTTAATGTTTTTTTTGCTTTAGCAAATCAACTATTTTGGAGTTTTAAAATGAGGGGAAAAGTGTCTTTTATATTTATCTGTACCTTTTTTCATTTCTTTGTATAGAATTAAAGTGCTGTCTGCTATTATACTTCTTCTACCTGAAGAACTTCCTTTAATGCTTTTTATAGTACAGATTGACTGACAATAAATTTTCTGTTTTTGTCTGAAAAAGTCTGTTTTGTCTTTCACATTTTTCCTTTTTAAAACAATTTTTTAAATTGTAGTTGGATATATAACATGAGTCTTCCATTTTCGGTGTACAGTTAGTTCATTGACATTAAGTACATTTACATTGTTTGCAGCCATTACCACCATTCATCTACAGAACATTTTTCATCCTGCAAAATGGAAACTCTGTATACTCTTCATTCCTCTTTCCCACCACTCCTGACAAACCACCATTCTTCTTTCTGTTCCTATAAATTTGATGATTCTAAGTACATCATATTAGTGGGATCATATGGTACTTGTCCTTTTATGACTGGCTTATTCCACTTGGCATTATGTCTTCAGGGTTCGTGCATGTTGCAAAACGTATCAAAATTTCCTTTTTAAGGCTGAACAATATTCCATTTTATGTATATACCCTACTTTGTTAATTCATGTGTTAATGGATAAATACATTAGGTTGTTTTTACTTTTTGGCTATTGTGAATAATACTGCTGCAAACATGGCTGTACAAATATCTCTTTGTGTCTCTGTTTTCAAATATTTTAGGTATATCCCCAGAAGTGGAATTACTGGATCATATGATAATTCTATTTTTAATTTTTTAAAGAGCTACCATACTGTTTTCCTTAGTGATTGTGCCATTTTGCATTCCCACTAAGGGCGCACCAATGGGTCAGGCATGATGGCTCATCCCTGTAATCCTAGCACTTTGGGAGGCTGAGGTGGGAGGATCGCTTGAGGACAGGGGTTCAAGACCCACCTGGGAAACAGAACAAGACCCTGTCTCTACAAAAAAATTGAAAAACTAGTCAGGCAGATGGCATATGCCTGTAGTCCCAGCTACTTGGGAGGCTGAGGTGGGAGGATTGCTTGAGCCCAGGAGCTGGAAGTTACAGTGAGCTATAATTGCACCACTTCACTCTAGCCTGGCTGACAGAGCAAGACCTGTCTCCAGAAACAACAATGAAGTGTACAAAGGTTGAAATTTCTCCACATTTTTGCCAATACTTGTTATTTTCTGTTTTTTTGATAGTAGTCACCCTAATGGATGTATCTTCATCATTTTTAAGAAGTATTTTTGCTGGATATAGATTTTTGAGTTAATAGGGTTTTTGTTTCAGTTCTTTAAATAAAGATACTATTTCATTATTTTCTGTCTTAGAATGCCTGCTGCCATTCTTAATATTTGTTCCCTTGTATATGATGTTTTCCCCCTATCTGGTTGCTTTCAAGATTTTCTCCATTACCAATTTGGCTATTGTATGCCTATATTTTTTTTTTTCCTATTGTATTTATTCTGTTTGGGTTTCTCTCAGCTTCTTAGATGTATGGTTTGTTGTCTTCCTTTAATTGTGAAAATTTTCCAGTTATTTTTAATGATATCTTCTGTTTCATGTGGTTTCTCTTTGGGGCTCCAATTTTAAATGTTAGACTTTTTGAATTGTCCAAAGCTCTTAAATGCTCTATTCCTTTTGTTCATTCTTTTTTCTCTTTATGTTTCATATTGGATAATTTTTGTTTACCTAGCTTCAAGTTCACTGATTTATTTTCCTAGTTGTGTCTGCAAAGCTTAGCAAAATATATATATTTTTTATCTTGGTTAGCATGGATTTTCCCCTCTGGATTTCCAATTGAATGTTTTTTTAGTTTCCATTTCTCTGCTGCTAGTCCGCATCTGTTTGTGCATGTTGTACCATACTCTGCCCTCTTCACTCCTGTACTCTGACAGTGGGTATTTACTTCCTGTGTTTGTCTCTCCCCTGAGTGGATTATCACTCTTTGGCATTCAGTTCACCTGTTTGCTTTGTAACCTCAGCTCCCTAATGAGCTTAAGAAAAGTTATGATTTTGTAACTTATCCTGCTTTTTCTTTCACCCTGTCAGGATGGGAGCAACTTTCTTTTGTAACTTTCTACATCCAAGGTGAAAGCAGGATGTTTTTCAGTTTATATACAGATCTTCAGGATTTCATATAAAGACAACTTGAGAGCTTTTAAAAGTTCAAGGAACTAAATGGAAAGCTATATTAGAGAAAGTGATAAATCTCTAAAAAATGAACCCTGGAAACACTCCTGTAGTTCTCAGATCATACTTGCTTAGTCATGATATAGAGGTTAATGTGGAAATCACTTTCCTGTTTTCTTACTCTAATAAGGCAGAAAACAGCAGTATTTCAGAGGAGATGTGGATTAATTTGTTATCTTTGCATGGTCTGGTTTTGGTACACCCTTGTAATTAGGAATTTTCTTAAAAATCTTTACACCCCACATTGTGTTCACTCCTCTTTCTCGTATAAAGTTACAATATATAACATTCTATATGCATGCTTCACACTTTGCTTTTCTGTCTGGACAATGTGTAAATGAGAATGTTTGATATTACCTTACAAACTGTTTTCTACTCAGTAAATGTAACAACATCTCCTTTCAATATGTTTGGAAAATCTCCATTATAAAGAGTTAAAAATAAAGAATTCAAAGAGAAACCTACTTTACACATGTTAGATTTGAGATGCATGTTAGAGATGCAAGTAGAAATTTTTTGTGAGAAGTTGGATATACAAGTCTGAAGCTTCAGTATCTCAGAATTAGAGGTAGAATTTGGAAGAGTCATCATTATATAAATGGTATCAAAACCTTGGAAATGGAACTGGAACTTCCAGGCTGGGGAGATGCCAACATTGAGAGGAAAGGAATAAAAATGAGTGAGTGGGCAGAAAGTGGAAGAAAACCAGGAGAGTATAGTGACATAGGTAGAGGCCAGTAAAAGAATATGTTTCGTTTAACTCAAGAATGTTCCTAAATGTGGGAGTATGCTGAATACAGAATTTTAAATGAGGACTGTGCACTTAGGTGGTAGGTTTGGGGGTCATTAGCTGGCAGATGGTTTTAGAAGTCTTCACTGTGAATACCTGTGGGTAAGTAGATAAAGTGGGGAGAAGGCTGAGAGAGCCATGAAAGGTAAGCAGAGTAAGTTCATGAGCTGTTACATTTGAATTTGTACAGACCAAATCTTTTCTATGTGGTTATCATTAAAAGCCTCTAAGCACTGTAAGTCCATTTATATCTCTATTCCTAAAGGGAATTTAAGCCAAAATGTTTACATATTTCTGGAATTCTGAATTAGAGGAGCTTTGATACTTTGCACCTGACAGTTACTGTGACAGTTTGACAGTATTTAGATTTATGGTAATTCATCTAATCCCTTTCTGAAGTCTCTAGGATGCCTTTGGAATGAGTTGTTATTCATGTAAAATTCCATGATACTTTAGTAATAGGATAGGTTTTTTGCCACATACCATTGACTAGATTTTGATCTTAAAGTCTTTTTCTATAAGCTCTTGCAAGAAAGAATCGAGTGTTGTTTACATTTTCCAACATTGTTATGTGCAGTGGCAAATGCAAAGACATAAACAAATACTTTAGTTATGATCAGCTCTGTAGGAAGTGGGAGGACCCTAGCTTTATCTTAAAATCATTACGTATACTGCAAAGAAATTGATTCAAATGCATTCACCATGAAAGTATGGACAGAGAACCTCATTTTATTCATCACACTAGGACCTATGCCAGCATTGCTTCATCTTTGGCTTTTGTTATATCCTGTTTTGTTAAGTTAAAAAGCAGTTAAATTTGTTTTCACCTACACCCCATTAGTAAAAAGAAATTTTTGAACACTCATATATGTATATATAACTGTTTATATAAAGTACCTACATGTGTCACTGTTCTAGTATAATCAATATATTATAAAGCATACAGAGAATAAGTGCATTTGAAAAGAACGAGGAAGAAACTGAATCATCTTGTAAACTTCCTGACTGCACACACCACAGAGAGACCATTTGTCTTTTTCGAGACATAGGAGTTAGTTCTTTTTTTTCTGATTATGCTTGTAATATGTCCTTCAGGTTCTTGTATATGATATCTAAACAGTTTAAAAAATTGATAACCGAAGCCCAGAAATAAACTTACATTAATGGTTAATATTATTTATCCAGGACCTCACATAAGTTTTTCTAATCATGGGAACCTTATTGACTAAGCAAACAAAAGCTTGTAATTTTTTTATCATTGTTTGTCAGTACATTCCATAATTTACAAGTTTGAAGTTGTAATGGTCAATGTTAAAGTTGTATTAGGAATACTAATTTTACTAAGCTTATTTTTCTTTCAGATGACATTAAAGTATCAGTAAATGATTTTATCATCAAGGCAGCAGCTGTTACCCTTAAAGTAAGTAGCAGACTTCAAATGATTTTGTCTTCTAAAGTAGTTTCATGTCATGGAATTTTTACAATGACAAATAGAACTCTTATTTTTAAATCACAAAAATTTTATAATTGTCTTGCTAAAATATCCTATCATTTGATCTCTCTCATTTTTCTAATGAAGAAACTGTAAATGAAAAGGGCTCACAACGAAGTAGAGCAGAATAAAAACCATTTATTCTAGGCATTAGACAGATAGCAGTAAACCAAAGCTTACATGATTTCTGCTCTCGCTGGGGCTTATATTCTAGTTGGAGGAGACAAACACTATTATATATCAGATGATGAAAGTACTGAGGAGAAAAAGAAAGGATAAGGGGACAAAGTAACGAGGTGTGCTCTTTCAAAAGGGAAGCGAGGGAAGCCCCCCTGACAAGGTGATAATTTAGATACGGCCTGAGAAAACAGAGGGAGTGAGCCACACAGGTATGTGGTGAAAGTACGTTCCACACAGAGGGACCAGCAAACACCAAGGCTGTGAATAGAGGATTGCATTAACTCAAGATATGGTGCTGAGGGTGGAGTGTGCCTAGAGTGGAAAGGGCGGGAGATAAGATTTAAATAACAGTGGGAGAGCATGAAGGGGAACCCCCCAAGTACATGAGGCCTTGTTGGACATGGTGAGGACTAGGGATTTTATTATGGGTGAGAAGGAAGCCTTTGGAGGGTTTTGAACAAGTAACTAATGTGATCGACTTACACTTGAGAAAGGAAAAGGAGAGGCTGCCCTGGGTGCTGTGTAGAATACGGCCTGTGGAGAGGCAAGGGAAGAGACGATGAGCTCCCCTGGGAGGCTTTAGAAGATGACTGTGGCTTGGACAAATGTAGTAGCAAATGGAGCTAGAGTGAAGTGGAGATTTGGGTTATGTTTCAGAAGTAGAGCCAACAGGATTTGCTGATGGATTGGATATGGGGTGTGAGAAAAAGGAACAAGCATTTTGGCCCAAGCGATGGGAGGAATGAGTTTTCCATGTACTAACATTGGGAAAACTGGGAGGGGTATAGCTTTGGGGTGAGGAATCTAGAGTTTGGTTTTAGACATGTTAAATTTGAGGAGCCTAACAGATATTCCAGTGGAGGTGGCAGGAAGGCAGGTGAACATATGAGCCTGCAGTTCAGTGGAGGTGATGTAAACCTAGCTGCCTTTAGATGTAAATCTAGAACCCTGGCTTCCTGCCTTCCTGCCTGGCACTATTTTTCATCATGCCTTCTTTCTGTAATGAGGCTATTTTCTGGGATCACTGCTTGTTAACAGACTGTATTTAAAGTACATTTATAATTAACTTGTTTTTATTTCTTGAAAAATACATTAAGGAGGGTTCCATGGTGTAATGGTTAGCACTCTGGATTCTGAAAAATACGTTAATACAGAACTTAAAAAGCATGCATTTTCAGCATTATCTAATTATTCATATAACTTTTCTCTTTTGATGAAATATTTTTAATTATATTAATGATTTAATTATTAATTGACTCTTGTGATTAATATCATTAACTGTGAATCATTTTTGCACTCCTTAAATAAATCTCTAATAGGCATAAGCTATTTGTTAATATTTCATTGGATAATTTTTGTATCTAGAGTCCTAAGTAGTGGTAATTTAAATTTTGTGCCAACATTATCAGACCTTTTTCCCCTAATCATTGGCTTCATTCAATGAATTTGGATTATTTCTTCTTTTCTTTCCTCTGTATTCATTTCAATATTATAAAATTTTTTATATTTTCTAGTTTCATAGAATTCACCAGTAAAAATATCTGAACCTGCTTCTATTTTGAGGAGGGGATCTTGGCAGCTTTCCCTTTTTTTTTCCCTGCCATAATTACTGATCTGTTTTAATTTTCAGCTTTTTAAAAAAATCAATTTTAAAAGCTAATATTTTCCCCCAAAATCCCTCATTTAATTTAGATTCCCAAACTTATTAGCCTAGAGTAATTTAAATTTGTTTCTTATAATTATTTTAACATCCTCAATGCCTGGGGTTATTCTGAACTCTCACTTCTATTGCATATTTATATTCTTAGTTTATATTGTTTTGTTATGTATTTTTTCCTTCATTTCCTTAGATTCATTTTGGTTAGAAAACTTGAATGTGTAATTCATTTTAATTTTTTTAATAAGGTTTAAGATAATAGTTGTTTTGTTTTGTTTTGTTTTTGAGCAGCAGCAAGATTTATTGTGAAGAGGGAAAGAACAAAGCTTCCACAGCATGGAAGGGGACCCGAGCGGGTTGCCCTAAGATAATAGATTTTTAATACAATTTTGACCATGTCCCATAAGTCTTCTTTACGTTTTGTAATTAAATTTATTTGCCAGATATTCTTCATTCATGAGGGTTTTGTTTAGTTTCTCTTTTACTTTAGCGTTGTCTATGAAGAATTTCAAATCTTCTGAGGGGTTGGGACTTTATTCTTTTAACATAGTGATATTGCTGAATGAGTGAAGGAACTAAGCCTTGAAAGATGGAAAAATGGAAGAGCAATTGAAAAGCAATGTGAAGGTAGCCTTGAAATGGAAATGAGCATAGCATGACAGTGGAAAATCCATCTCAGGGGAGTGGTCACAAGTAAAATGGGATAGATAGAGTAGAATCAAATTGTGTATTGCCATGCTTAAATGACACGCCAGGAGGCCTGGATCTTTTTCTTTAAAAAGCAAAGAATTTTTGAGTACAGAAATTCTTTCCAGTTTCTGTTTTTCAGCATCATTTTCACCTGTAATACAAGGCAACATTATTAATAGACAGGATTTCCAGGCATTTTGTCATTTGATGAAATCTCTTTTAAATAGGGAAGTAATTTCTTGAGGGCCTGCTGATATATATCCCAGAGCTGAGCTAGAAAGGAATAATATGATCTTATATCGTTACCCTTTTCCACTCTCCTCCTCACCTCAAGATCATGTTCGTTACCATATGAGGTAGGAAGTACAACAGACATTAAATAACTTCTAGCAATCAGGAAAGAAAGCCCTTTTTTCCCCACTAGGATATAAAGAGATCAAAGCATGTACCTCATCATAATTTCTTCAAACTTCCTTCAAAAAGGTAGTATGTTTAATTATTCTTGGCAGACATAAAAGATAATTGACAGAACTCCAAACCATTTTTTCAAACCAAATTTTTACTTATTTCCTCTTATCTAGCTATGTTCACTTTGGAAAATGCTCAGTAATTTTATTTTTCTGTAACTGCCTTGTTCTAAAGCCACTTTTTTAGTAAGATTTTTTTTTTTCCTATTTCTAGCAAATGCCAGATGTTAATGTAAGCTGGGATGGAGAGGGCCCAAAGCAACTGCCGTTTATTGACATTTCAGTGGCTGTGGCAACAGATAAAGGCTTACTTACACCAATCATAAAAGATGCTGCCGCTAAGGGTATCCAGGAAATTGCTGACTCTGTAAAGGTATGTCTTAAGAAAGAGTGTGCTTTCAAAATGTTAGCATATACTTTTGGATAATTACTTTCTGATAAAGTCTTGACGTAATCTAGTCAGACTGTGATTTTTTTGTATGTGGGGAGAGTTATTTCATCAAGTGATTGTCACGTATCTATAGGTTTTTAAAGTTTTTATCCAAGTATGACCCATTGTAAGAAAATTTAATATTCAAAAATTAAGAGATAACATGTAAATAGAACAATATCATGCTAAAGACAAACTTTATTTTCCAAAGTCCAGAATTCAACCCTAAAGATGCTATATCAGGTAGGTTTTAAAGTTGAAGTTAAGCTGAAACTGTATTTCTATGGAAGTGGTAATAGACCTCAATATTAATAACATTTTATTCTTAAAGTATATTTACTTCTTCTCTAAAACTGAGACCATTAAAAGAACTTAGCGGCCATGCACAGTGGCTCACACCTGTAATACCAGCACTTTGGGAGGCCGAGGTGGGCGGATCACGAGATCAGGAGATTGAGACTGACCTGGCCAACATGGTGTAACCCCATCTCTACTAAAAATACGAAAATTAGCTGGGTGTGGTGGCACGTGCCTGTAATCCCAGCTACTTGGGAGGCTGAGGCACAAGAATCACTTGAACCCAGGAGGCAGAGGTTGCAGTGAGCCGAGATTGCGCCACTGTATTCCAGCCTGGAAACAGAATGAGACTCCATCTCAAAAAAAAAAAAAAAAAAGTGGACTTAGTGTTCCAGAAGCAAAGTTATTTTACTTTTTCAGGATTTCTTGAAAAGCAGTTTTTGTAACTCCAATGTGTAGGAATCTTATTTCACCAAAAAATAGCACATCGAATAGGCAAGAACACAGGCAGTAGGGCAGCTTTGACAGCCTCAGTAATTTCCGAGGGTATTTTTTGACAGAAGTATCACAAGTCTTAAAGTGATTGCATCAAAAATTTCTGATTCATTTGGGTAAGTGATTTCTTTCCATTTGCCAAGGACCTGTTGTATGTATAGTGGTAGAACAATTTAGAAGGTAAGATTTCTTTGGAGAGCTGACAGTACATAAATGTGTAGACCTTCTTGCTCAAAAGAAATAAGTACAAGTTAATCTGATTTTAAAAGCATACCCATAAATACTGAGTTTACTTGGAATTTTAGAGGTAGATATAATTAAAGGTGAACCTACTAGAATCAATATTTTTAGGTCTTTCTTCACTCCTCTTTGAAAAGATTTGCAGAAAGTGTTTGTATAGATAAAAATGGAATTGTTAATTGAAAAATGAGGCTGCACATGGTGGCTTATGCCTGTAATCCCAGCACTTTGGGAGGCTGAGGCAAGCAGATCACTTGCAGGAATTTGAGACCAGCCTGGCCAACATGGTGAAACCCCATCTCTACTAAAAATACAAATATTAGCTGGACATGGTAGCACACACCTGTTATCTCAACTACTCGGGTGGCTGAAGCACGAGAATTGCTTGAACCTGGGAGGCAAAGATTGCAGCGAGCTGAGATCGTGCCATTGCACTCCAGCCTGGATGACAGAGCAAGATGCTGTATCTCAAAAAAAAAAAAAGAAAAAAGAAAGAAAAAAGAAGGATAGCATTAATTTGGTCAGTTCAAAAGTCAAAGTAATAGAGATTGGTTTGCTGAGATATAGTATGTTCCTTATATTTATCAACGGTTTTCAGCAACAATGAGAATACTTTTGTCTGTGTTTTGTAAAGGTTAAATGAGATTAAGTGTTGAAACAACCCGTAAAATAAAAAGTACTATTATAATGTTATGGAACTTTACTGCGCAGCTAGAATTTCCTTATTTTTATATACATTAAATTTAAAAAATTAACCATTATAGGAAGATTTCCTTGATTCTGAGCAATTTACTAATTTTACTACTATAATACATAACTCTTAAGTAGTTATGTTAGCTTCCTCTATTCCTTGCATCCTGAAGACTGTAAGTTTACGAGGTAAGGAGGCAGTCTCACCAGCCTCTCAGTTGGGTCTCACAGCAATGGGAAGGGCAGTCATAACCCTCTGGAGTGTAATGGTCTCTGGCGGGCCTTAGGCATTTCCTGTAACCCCCAGCAGGGACTCAGGGTTTGCCGAGCTCTGGCTGCCCCTGTTTGCTTCTCATTCTACCTGCTTCTCTTTCCCACTCTGCTCTCTTCACTCTTGTTCTTAGTGATGCCAGGCACTGGGCTAAGTGCTTCATTTAATCCTATTAACCCAGTCCAATTGGAACCTTAATTTCTCCATGAAATTGAGGAGATGGAGTTTTAGCAACTTTGATAAATTTGCCCGAGGCAGTACAGCTAGAAAGCAGTGGCAGTGAGGACTAGTTAACCCAGGCAGTTAGATTCTAGAGCCACTACTTAATGATCTGTTATACCACCTCTCTCCTTGCTTTTACTGTTTACCTTTCTTTTTTCCTATCTAATCATTCACTTCTTTACCTCTCTTTTGTCATTTTCTCCCTCAAAGTTACCAAAAAGGAGGGTTTGATTTGGTCCCCAAGTAGTACTTTCTTGTATGAAGTACTCTAGCTGGGCAAGTCTCTCATGCCAGGCCAATGTGTCATGTGGTACAGAGCATAACAACCAGATGCATGTAATCACTTTGGTTGTACTAAGAAAAAATAAGGGGACATTGAAGCACATTGAGGCCTCTCATGAGAAACAGGTGCCTTGCATGGCCTATTTAGCGTATTAGTTCTCTAGTTTACATGAGAGAGAGAGAAAAAGAAAGTGTGTGTGTGTGTGTGTGTGTGTGTGTGTGTGTGTGTGTGTGTAAGAGAGAGATCTGAGCTCCTGCAAAATTAGTTTTTTGTTGAAATGGCTTGTCTTGTAAGCATGATTATTTTAAAAACTTAAATCTTGGGTTGTTTAAATGGTGGCTTAAAAACTAAGTATTTTAGATAGGCTCTATAGAGATATGTTCATTTAGCTGCTGTGCACGAATAGTCGTTAAAAATATGTATGCACCAAGTAGAAACCCTGAGTGTGTGTGTGTTTGTGTGTGTGTGTGTGTGTTCTTCACATCCAATGTAGATTTTGACTCAATTCCAAGTTAAGCAAGATTATATTGAATTCAGCTTTACTGTGCAAAAAAAAGCAAAAAACAAAAAAAAAAAAAAACAAAAAAAAACCCAGCATCTATCTGAGTGTCCAAGTATAGTAGTGGGTCATCTTTGGTAATAAATGCATTTTCTGTCCTGTGCTTTAGTGTTGTTATATTTTACCCCATCCACCAAAAAGGGTAGACAGTAAATGTTCCATTTATGGAATAGTGCCATTTTATACAGTTTGAGTCTTGTCAGTATTTCTACATCAAACTTTGTACTGTGGCTTATTAAAAGGTTTTATGTATTAAAAAGGTTATGTATTTAAACAGTTTATGAATGTTTATGTATTTAAACAGATAAAATTTAGAATGATTTTAATTCCAGGGTAAAATCTGCTCTGACCAGAGAGAAATATATGACTAATTCATATATGAATGTAGTATTTGTAATTTTCTTATTTAAAGACATGCAAGTTCTAGAAGTATTTGTACAGTTTAACAGTTTTAACAACTCTAACAATAATAGCACCTGGCATACTTTGTACCAGTTTTTGCTGTAAGCCTTTTATATATATTAATCCTCTTTAAAACTACCCTATCAAGTACAAGATAATAATTTGATATGGTCGATGAAGCAACTGATGGGAAAAAAAGAGAAGTTAAATAATTTGCCCCAAATCTTACTAAGTGATGTAGCCAGCATCTGAACCCAATCAGACTGTAGACTAGAGCCTGCTCCCAACCACTTAGCTTTGCTGCTTCTTTCACACTAGTTACATAACTACTGTATGACTATAGTGGTCAGGTTATCAGCCTTCTAGAATCAGTAATGTTTTCTCTAAAAATAAAAAATACTTGAGAAGCAGCTCCTGAACTTTCAGAAATGAACAAGAAGAATAGCTAAGGACTCAACAGTTATACCAAATGCACCATAATTAGTTGATTTGCCAGGTAGACGAAAGGAGTACAATCATTTGTTTTCTGTGTCTGTAAGACCAATCTTTTGGTTTGGAATTTGAGATATTGTAGTTCTGTCTTATCCAAGGTTTCACTTTGCATGGTTTCAATTACCCGTGGTCAACCACAGTTGAAAATAGGTGAGTACTGTACAAGGTATTTTGAGAGAGACCACATTCACATGATTTTTACATTGGTACAATTGTTCTGTTTTATTATTAGTTATTGTTAATCTCTTACTGTGCTTAATTTTTAAATTAAACTTTATCATAAGTATGTATACGTAGGAAGAAGAGTACAGTCATGCATCACAGCAGGGATACATTCTGAGAAATGCATGGTTAGGCGATTTTGTCATTGTGTGAACACCGTAGAGTATACTTACACAAACCTAGATGGGATAGCCTACTACACGCCTAGGCTTTGTATGGTACAAACCTGCAATACAACCAATTACTGTACTGAATAGTATAAGGAAATAGTGCTACAGTGGTACGTATTTGTGTGATAGGAATTTTTCAGCTCCATTGTAATCTTAATGGGACCACTGTCATATATGTCTGTCGTTAACTTAAGTGTCCTTAGATGGCACATGACTGTAGGTATAGAGTTCAGTATTATCTGCCATTTCAGGCACCTACTGTGGGTCTTTGAAATATCCCCCACAGATAAGGGGGAACTACTGTATGCAACTGGGAGAAAAAAAGAGTTAAGAAAGAAGAGACCTGAGTCACACGGGAGAGTACTCTGCCAAAGAAGCAGTGAAGATTCCCTGAGGAATGTGAGGTTGTGGTCTTAGCAAGTAGGCAGTGGATAAGAGAACCTGCAGCAAAGAGACCAAGGCTCTCTACCTGGTGAGGCAGGAGCAGACTTTTTGAGGAGACTGTGGGATCATAGACAGGTTGAGCTCTGGATTCTCACTAAGAGACATACTATCCAGTACACACATCCCTCTGATTGTCACTTGGCTGGCTGTTTTTCATCATTGGTTTCTCAGTTCAGTTGCTAATGTCTTAGGCCTTCTGCAGCTTCCATAGCTGAAATAGTTTCCTAACACTCTTTATCTCATTACCCTGTTTTATTGTCTTCATATGGTTTATTTGTCTTTGAAATTACCTTGTTTATTTATTTGTTCACCCTTCTGTGTTCCCTACTGTCTGATGTTCACTGTCCATTGCCATTTATCTAATTCTAGAAGAGTGCTTGGGATACAATAGTTGCTTGGTGAATTTATTTTAAAACAAATTTCAGTAAAACCTATTTCATTGAAATTAATTTTTCAAGAGTTTGTGGCTCTCTACAGATTCATCCATGAACCCCAGGTGAAGAACACCTGTACTACGCATTTACTTCTTGACCCTCAGTAATCCCAAGGATGCCAGTGTGGGGGCTGTAGGCATACTGCAGCCAAGTTCAAGTTGGTATTCCTTGAATAAAGTAATGTAGTAACACACCTTGAATCCTGTGTTATTCTTAATTCTTCATTACTTATAACAGTATTAAAAGGCAGAGGCAAAGTTTACCTTATAAGTACCCAGTAAATTTTTTTGAATGAATTAGCAAGGCATTTGATGTATTATAGAAATATTTAGTGGTCATTTTTTATTCTTTCAGCTGGATGCTTCAGGTAACATGTACTTTGATTTTGAGTCCACATTGCCAGGGGATCCCAGTGATAATTACAAATTTATACAACCAACAGTCCTTCTCAGACTCCATACCTATTTCAGACTCTTACTCGAGTTCACTGACAGGAATTTCCTGTTGATGTATTTAGGATCTACAGAGTTTTTGTTTTTAGTATGTGTGCTTGCAATCTAGTTATTAAAATGAATTTTTTTCATTTGTTGGAGTGTGGTAATTCATCAGGATAATGCTGAGATCATCTGCCTTTAGAAAATGCCTTTCAAAGTTCATATATATATCTTTTCAAATCATGTAAACAGTTACATTGCTTAAGGGAGGAAAAATGCATTTGTAGATTATTCTCTCTCCTGTTATTCCAATAACTATATAAGTCAGAATTCATCTCTTTTTTTGCAAACAGCATACACCTGTAATTTTTTCCATTGGCAGTACGTTGCAGTGATGTGTTTTTAGATTTTTGATATTTTTAAAGACTTAATTTTAAAAATTTAAATCATCTATGAGTTAAAGTTATCAACTGTGATTGTAATAGTGCCTATGTTGCCTATGCAATACAAAATATTAAGTAAACTCCACATTTATTTTATCTACCCAAATGACAGTGACCTAATTTTTCTGTATCCTTCCTCTTAATTCATTATTAAGTTTTTATATATGATGACTCAACCTCTGTTCCCTTGCTTTTAAGCACTGAAAAATAAAAATTAACAGAAGTATAGTTAATTCCAATTACAAGTGAGAGGAAAATTTTACTAATGTGTCATGTCTTGTCTTCTGTAAGATTTTTAGAAATCAGTATGGTCAAGAGTGATAAGAATCAAGTACATCCTTATATTCCTTGTGGCAGTATAAATTGGACTAGCTTATTCAGGAAGTGATTTAGCTGTAGAATCAGGAACCAAAAGAAGTCTATTCTCTAGGGCACTATAATTCCACTTCTGAAAATTTACCTGAAATAATTCAGAAAAAACCATGAACCAAATTATAACACTGGGAAATAACCAAGTAAATTAGGCAGATGCATTCTTTAGGAACAGACATTAAAAAATCATTTCTGAAGGCTGACAACACAGAAGATGCATATAATACTGAACAATTAAATATAAAATTTATGTTTTATAACCATTGTGTGGGGTTGAGATTGTGCATAAAGATGGAGCAAACTCTGAAAAATAAAAACGGAATGTTGGTTGTGGGATTGTGGGTATGCTACTTTGGTTGCCATTGGATAATTTATTTAAAACACACTAGATTGGCCAGGCATGGTGGCTAATACCTGTTATCCCAGCACTTTGGGAGGCCGAGGCAGGTGGATCCCTTGAGTTCAGGAGTCGGAGACCAGCCTGACCAACATGGTGAAACCCCATCTCTCCTAAAAATACAAAAAATCAGCCGGGCGTGATAGTGGGTACCTGAAATCCCAGCTACTCAGGAGGCTGACGCAAGAGAATTGCTTGAACCTGGGAGATGGAGGTTGCAGTAGGCCATAATCATGCCACTGCACTCCAGCCAGGGCGGCGGAGTGAGACTTCTTCTCAAAAAAAAAACAAAAAACAAAACAACAACAACAAAAACACTAGGTTGATGAGAATGTATTCTTGTTTTTTTTTTTTCTTACAATAAAGTTTTATAGGCAAAATAGAAAATTTCACTGTGCATATAGGAAACTCTAAAGCATTCTGCATTCTGCATAGTAATTGGTGGTACACAGGGTAATTCCCATATTTGAAAAATTGTTAAAGGAAGTAATTTTTCTAGAGTTTTGATTAACAGCTTTAGTTTCTTGAATTATCTGTGCTCTTGTTTGTTCTTATAATTAGAGAAAATTATTTTTATATAGGTAACATAAAATCAAATCAAGGCATATCAGAGATGAGAGTGTATGACTTACAAATATTTCAAATGACAAGATCAACTGTGTAACATTTTGTTGGTTGTCCTATTCTGTTTGTATTTTTCTCAGGCTCTATCAAAGAAAGCAAGAGATGGAAAATTGTTGCCTGAAGAATACCAAGGAGGATCTTTTAGGTAAAATTTAAACTCTTAATTATCCATAACATCAAACAGATAGATGTAAGACTTATAAAGACCCTGTCAGCCTTTCATTTATCTGAAATATTTTTTAAAATTTAAGCTAAAAATATTTAGACAATAGAATATCTGGAAATATTCTTCACACTAGTCAGGCTTTCATATTAAAGCTAGTAGGAACCTATTTGTGTTGAACTAAACGTTCATTGGACATTGACTAACATGGAATGATAAATATTATGTATTCTTTAGTATCTGACCCCCCAATATTAATATCTGTGATATTATATTGCTATGTGAAGCAACCACTTATTTGTTATTATTGCAGTATATAATATTCTATTGTATAAATATACCAGAATTCATTTTACTGTTGATGGGCATTTGTGTTGCTTCCAGTTCGGTGCTATTACAAATTATGGTGCTATGAACATGCTTATTGGTGTCTTATGGTGAATATATGTACATTTTTTGTTGTATAGACCTAAAAGTATAATTCCTAAGTTAGAAGTTTTAGCAGATACTGCCAAACAATTTTCCAAATGGTTATACAAATTTACACCTCCACCAACAGTCCTGAGAATTCCCATTGCTCCACATTCTTGCCAGTGTTTAATAATGTTAGGTTTTAAATTTTAACAATTATTGGGGTGTGTAGTGGTACTCTTTGTAGGGAAATGCAAATTAGTGATGTTGAGTACTTTTCACTCATCAGCCATTTGGGTATCTGGTAATTCATGAGATAAAGTACCCATTGCAGTCTGGTGTTCATTTAAAAAATGATGTATAGTTCTTATTTCTGGATACACAGACCTTTGTAGGATATATATTGTTTCAAATAGCTTTCACACTCTGCGACTTGCCTTTGCGACTCTCTCAGTGATTTTTTTTAATGAAAGGAAGTTCTGAATTTTAATGAATTCCTGTTTATCAGTATTTTTCTTTATAGTTGATATAGTTGATACTTTTCTATATAGTTGATTATATATTTTTCTTTATAGTTGATACTTTATAGTTCATTTTCTGTTAGGAATTTTTGCCTATCCCAGAGTCATGAAGTTACTCTTCTGTGTTATCTTCTAAAAGCATTTATGTTACTTTTCACATGTAGATCACAATTCATCTGAAATTGGATTTTGTAAATAATGTGAAGTTTAAAGTTCTCTTTTTTCCCCACATGGATAGTAAATTTACACAGCATCATGTAATGAATATTGATTTCTCCTTTTTCATAGCACTGAAAAGGTGATTATATATGTGTTGGTCTGGTTCTATGCTATTCTTTTCCACTGGCCTGTTTGTTGATCCTTTGTTTACTACCACCAAGCTACAACTCTTCATAGCTGGTAATGAAGGCTTCCAATTTTATTCACCCTCAAAATTGTCTTCTGGCTTTTCGTATTTCCAAATAAATTGTAAAATTGATTTGCCATTTTTCACACACACACACACACACACACACACACACACCCCTACCTTGCTGGAATCTTGATTGGGATTGCATTAAGTCTTTTGATGGTTTGAGAATTGACATTCTTACAATATTGAGTCTTCTAACCAGTGAATATGGTAGAAACCATTGTGTATTCAGTTCTTTGATTTCTTTCAGTTATGTTTTATAATTTTCTGTGTAGAGGTCTTGTATGTATTACATTCGATTTATTCTTTGGTATTTGTTTTTTGATACTGTTATAAATGATATTGTTTTAATTTTTTATTTTCTAATTATAGCAACTTATATATAGAGTCATGTGCCACTTTATGATGGGGATATGAGAAATGCATTGTTAGGAGTTTCATCATGCAAACATCATAGAGTGTACTTACGCAAACCTAAATGGTACAGCGTGACACACCTTAGCTGTATGATATAGCTGTTTGCTCCTAGACTACAAACCTGTACAGCATGTTACTCTACTGAATACCGTAAGCAGTTGTGACACAATGATGAGTATTTGGGTATCTAAACATTTTTAAAATGTACAGTAAAAATGTAAAACGTAAAACATGGTACACCTGTTTAGGGCACTTACCATGAATGGAGCTTGCAAGACTAGAAGTTGCTCTGGATGAATCAGTGAATGAGTGAAGGCTTAAGACATCACTATACACTACTGTAGACTTTATAAACACTGTACGCTTAGGCTGCACTAAATTTACTTTTAAAATAAAGTAATTGCAATATGTTATGACAGCTATGATGCCACTAGGCAATAGGAATTCGTCAGCTCCATTATAATCTTGTAAGACCACCATTGGATATGTGATCTTTCATTATGTGGGACATGACTCTAGATATAAAATGGATTTTTATATTGACCTTTTATCTGATGACTTAACTAAATTTACTTTCTAATTTTACTAGTTATCTGTAGAGTCTTATTTTTCCTATGTACACAGTTAATTTATTTGTGAATACTACATTTTTCCTTTTTTCATTACTTAATATATTTTTTTCTTGCCTTACTATACTGCCTAATAAAATATATATAAAATATGTGCTTCGGGGAAAGGGAACTTTGATTAAGGATGTCCCTCCCTCAGAGCTTTTTCTTTCCCCCCTAGTATTTCCAACTTGGGGATGTTTGGCATCGACGAATTTACTGCAGTGATTAACCCTCCTCAGGCCTGCATTTTGGCGGTTGGGAGGTTCCGACCTGTGCTGAAGCTCACTGAGGATGAAGAGGGAAATGCCAAACTGCAGCAGCGCCAGCTCATAACAGTCACAATGTCAAGTGACAGTCGAGTGGTTGATGACGAACTGGCAACCAGGTTTCTTAAAAGTTTTAAAGCAAACCTAGAGAATCCTATCCGACTTGCCTAGTCCTCAAAGATAAGAAGTTGGTGTTCAGCTTAGTTGATTCAGTAGTTGTTACCAAGAAACATGTGTTAGAGGAAAACAACTTGGTATTTAAGTATGAAGTGGATGAAATGTTTATTTATTTAAGATGAAAGCATTTGACCCAGGGTGTCTTCATCTTCAGTTTGGGTTTAATGTTATAGAAATAAATGATGATAAACTCTAACTATTAAAGGAAAGAGAATATTTGGTTACTCAGATCCATTTTTTAACCTCTGGTGCTGTATAAAGGGAATATTCAACTAGATGTAAATCAAAGTATATGTTTGGCTCATTTGAGCATTTTAGAATATTTGAGAATGTATAATACATGTAAAATAAACTGTTAGAACTCTACCATAATTGTGTTGAAGGTAGAAGTGATCTTCAAAGAGATGGCCATTAACTTAGCAGTGGGACCTCACTTTTACAAGCACTGCTCTAGATATACTTGAAGAATTTAATATGTACAGAATTTTATTCTGGATAATAAATAGGATCACACTGTATTAGGGGTTATGGCAACATTATTGAATTTTTTATGTGCATAAAGTCTTATGTTTAGGGTGGTTTCTATCTGTCTTGTTTTTCACTTGTATAACACTGTGAACTTCTAAAGAGAGAATAAAAGAAGCATGAATGAGAAGAATGACATTTCAGAAAAATGGTTCAATGAAAATCTATAGCTAAAATATGTAAACCTAGGTAAAGCGCTTGCCTTCATCCTGAGTCAGAATATATTTAAATAAATTGTGTTATCTCTTGCCAAACATTTTGTTAGTGTTTATTTAAAAAGAAAATGTTGTTTCTTAATGCATTTAAATCAGTTTTGTATTGTGCAGTAAAATGTGAGAAAATATGAACATTTCAATTGTATTTTACATGTTAAAACACAAAAGTTCAGTAAACTTTGAAGTTGATTAGTAGTTTTTCTAGAACACCTTAAAAAGGACTCTACAGGAGGAAAGAAGGAATTTCAAATTAGTATGACATTAGGAAAGTAACCGATAGGAAATGTAAAACTTTGGAAAGAGAATAGAAGACTTACGAAGCCAAACAGATGAGAACTACTCTTTTTATTCCACTAATATGAAATTTTCACTAATTATTATAAAGTTTGGAAGAGCTTATTCTCTCTTTTGGCAACTCTGCTATAACTGTCAAGATAACTGTATTTAAATTGGACGGTAATGAATGATAATTTAACTTGTCACAAAAAGATTTATGTTAGTGTCGGCTGACATGAATCACCAGAAGGAAGTCTATAGTACAAGTTGTGTGGTATGACATGATGAATTATAAACCCTAACAGAAGAGCCTTCTAAAATAATTAGCACCCTGGTGTATTAATTGTTAAGAAAATGCTTAATCCAACTATCCAACTCAGTTTAACAAGCCATTTTTAAAAAGTCTTCAAAACTTTCGTCATATTAACAGTTACACTGAAAATTATAACCAAGTGCTATTTTCAAAATAATTTTTATGTTACATTATTTCCAAGGTCAGTTTTAATCGAAATTATTATTATTTTTTTTTCTTGAGACAGAGTCTTGCTCTGTGGCCCAGGCTGTAGTGCAGTGGTATGATCACAGATCACTGCAACCTCGACCTCCTAGGCTCAAGTGATCCTCCTGCCTCAGCCTCCCGAGTAGCTGAGGACTGCAGGCATGTGTCACCATGCCTGGCTAATTTTTCTATTTTTTTTAGAGACAGGGTCTTGCCATGTTGCCCAGGCTGGTCTCAAACTCCTGGGCTCAAGCAGTTGACCCACCTTGGCCTCCCAAAGTGCTGGGATTACACAGGCATAAGCTACTGTGCTGGGCCATTGTTTTTGTTGTTGTTGTTTGTTTGTTTTAATTTTTATATCTGAGGAACAGAACATGATGAGGCAACCTTAAATAAGCCTGGCTCAGAGTTCTGCTTTTCATGAACTGACATACATAAGCAGTAGTGCATCTGTTTCCCTGTAGGTGAAATGGGCATTAATATTTACTCAGCCTGCTTTAGAGAGTTGAACTGTACAAGGGAAATAGCTGTATAAATTTAAGATGTTTTAATTCTTCATGGACCTCACAGTCAGGCTTTTCATATAATCACCTGCCTCTCATGGTTTGACTTCTCAACTTTTGGTACAAATGCTTGTTCATTATGACCAAAA